CACTCTTTCTCCTTCTTGTAGGTCCTTTTGTTCTGCATCACAGCTGCTCTGTTCATGTTCTTTTTCAGGTATGTTGCTAGTGTATCTATTTATGTTTGTAAAGGTTTTTTTTTTTTAAAAGCGTTTCTACTTGAGCTTACTTCATTTTTGGAATTCATCTGAAAATTTGTGTATTCTTGACTGAAGCTTTCTGAATTGAGTACAGTGCTTCCATGGCATTAAAAACCCAGTGCTGTGAGCATAATTAGACTAAAAAAGGAAATTCTGAGTTAAATGCTTTAAATCTTCTGGAGACTATACTGATTACTTAAGGAGCCTCCTCTTATTTCATAATTAAGACCCTGGAGATTTAGCATTACATAGTATGAAAATATCTGAAAACTACTTTTTGTTTATGTTCTTAAATAGCTTACAGCAGGGAAAATAGCATTTTTTTCTTCTGGTGAAGACAGAGGAGAACAGGAAAATGAGATTTTACAGTCTTAATATCAAATATTTGGCATGCATGCAGGTACAATTACCTTTTAATTTTAGAGTACACTAGTTTCACATATGTTTTCACAAGTTATCAGTTGCATTCGTTTTTTAAAACATACAGTAGTAGGCTTGGATGACACACTCATTTTAATAATGTTTTTCTCTCTTGTTTTGCATGATATATGTAATAAGTCATTTACCTTGTCATTGTTTCCCTTTTAAGTACCAGACCTCTCAAATTTTCTTTATTATATCTCAAGCTGGAAAGTTGCTTGCCAAGCTAACCTTTGACTACAGTCCTTTGACTTAGAATTTTCTGTGGCATTTAGCCATCTGTGGCTCTTCAAGCTGTATATGATCCCCTAGTAATTGCAAAACTCTGGAAGCTGCAGCTTGTGTTTTTGTAATTCCATTACTTACGAGTTACTTATGGATATTGGCCAAGAACAGTCTGTGGGTAGGGCAGAACTGTTAACTTAAAGGATTCGAAGAAACATTCCTCCTTTCATCTACAACCCTTTAAGACCCTTGCATCAGCAGTCTTCTTGCTTTATTTTCTTGTACTTCCCAGTGTCCTGGCATAACAGCCTCGGAGAATTTGACTTGTAAGGTTGAAGTTAGACACCTGTCTGTATGAATGCTGATTAAACCAACTCAAAACACTAAAATGCTGGTCAAAGCTATAAATGTTGTATGATTTTGGAGGAAGCTAGTTGTCTTCTGTCTATGTCTTTGGTAATGAACCAGTGTTTCAGAGACAACCTGGAACTTAAATAAGAACTGACCAGAGTCCAGAGGTATTTGGAGTATCCCTCCCTGACCTGACACAACAACGCTGACAGTTGAATGGGTTCCAGACCACTTTCTCTTCTAAAATTAGTCCTTCCGTGCCAGGGTTCATGGATATCCTGTTGAGCAATCATCAGCAATGTTTATAGAATTATAGGTTTATCGAATCACTTAGGTTGGAAAAGACCTTTATGGTCATCAAGCCTGACCATTAACCCAGCACTGCCATCCCACCACTAAACCATGTCCCTAAGCACCTCATCTGCCTGGCTTTTAAATACCTCCAGGGATGGGGACTCAACCCCTTCCCTGGGCAGCCCATTCCAGTGCTTGACAACCCTTTCGGGGAAGAAATTTTTCCTAATGTCCAATTTAAACCTCCCCTGGCGCAACTTGAAGCTATTTCCCCTCATCCTATTGCCCGTTACCAGGGAGAAGAGACCGACCCCCACCTCACTCCCCCCTCCTGTCAGGCCGTTGTAGAGGGCGATAAGGTCTCCCCTCAGCCTCCTCTTCTCCAGGCTGAACACCCCCAGTTCCCTCAGCTGCTCCTCATCAGACTCCTCCAGACCCTTCACCAGCTTTGTTGCCCTTCTCTGGACACACTCCAACCCCTCGATGTCCTTCTTGTAGTGAGTGGCCCAAAATTGAATACAATATTTGAGGTGTGGCCACACCAATGCCGAGTACAGGAGCAAGATGTGCCCTGCTCCTGCTGGCCACACTATTCCTGATAAAAACCATGAAACTGTTGGCCTTCTTGGCCACTTGGGCACACTGCTGGCTCATACTCAGCTGCCTATCAACGAGCACCCTCAGATCCCTCACTGGGAAGCAGCTTTCCAGCCACTCTTCCCCAAGCCTGCATTGTTGCATGGGGTTGTTGTGACCCAAGTGCAGGACCTAGTGCTTGGCCTTGTTGAACCTCATACAGTTGGTCTCAGCCCATCGATCCAGCCCGCCCAGATCCCTCTGTAGAGCTTTCCCACCCTCAAGCAGATAAAATTTAATTCCTTTGTCTCTGGTGTTGTAACAGAGGAATTAAAATACAGGGCCTGGAAGTTATAGGTCCATTAGCTTAATTCTTAGAAAAAAAAATATTATCATAATTTATGTTTGTAAACACTGCCCTCCCCCCCCCCAGTAAATCAAAGTAGACTTATCAAAAAAGAATTAGCACAGACCAACTTTCTTTTTTCTTTCTGATTGTAATTGTGGGTAGAATTTCTTCGGTGATTCATGTGGTATTTTCCTAAAGTAACAAGGTATAGATGGGCTGTGTGACAATACCTGTGGGTAAGCACAGAACCCACAGGATCATATGTGAACATAGTTGTTGTCAGAGGTTGACTATCAGGGGATGCATTGACTGTGTTGACAAGTACCTACTCAGGTCCTCCACTGTTTAATATTTTTATGTTTAAATAGTGACAGAGATAACAGTCGAAATGGTTATTGCATGTGTAGGTAAAACTGCTGGCTGGGAACTGCAGAACAGACTTGGAATTCAGATAGATGTGAACTGGAGATATGATCTGAAAAACTATAAAGCTGCTTAGTAATTGCAAGGCTGAGGTAATAGATTTACAGGTGTGGAGAATTAAATGGTTTGGGAGGGGTTCACTGAAAAAAGACCCAACAGTGGCTGTCACGTTCTGCCAGCTGAGTGAAGTCAACAACGTCACATTCCTGGAACAAGGGAAATGACATGGTGAGATATATAGAGCTTCTGAGGTACATAAAGTTGTCTTTTTGTTGTACTTGAAGTTTAAGAAGTTCTTAGTGTGTTTTTGTATCCTTTTTGATTATTACATGACAAGAAGATGGAAGAGGCAGAGAAACCTCAAGAGTTTCTCCTCCAGTCATCTGGAGTTTGGAAAGCATCATTTATTTAGAGGGATGGATTGTGTTATTTAATTTTATAAAAACATAAATAAGGGATGGAATAACTGTCTTCATGTATATACAAGACTGCTGAAAAGTGGGAGAGAATAAATAGTCTGTTCTTGCTGGCTGTGATGGAAAGGATAAGAGATAACAGAGCAAGACATTTCTTACAATAATAAATTAAAACACAAATTAATTTGTTTAGATAGCGAGGAAGGAAATCTTAAGAAAGAAGCAGTGAAAAGATTCTCTGGCGAGGCTACAGATTATCTGTCCTTTCAGATCTGTAGGAACAGACTTTGGATGATACAGGTATTACCAGTTAGGGAAGGGAGTATTTGACTTCCTCAAGTCTCTTCCACTTTTTGATGCCCATCAATGGCTGTCATATTGTGAAATACTTGATGTAGTAAGCTGTCAAAGACAGTGACCAGTAAAGTCTTTGGAGGAGGATAACCTTGCTGTGCTTTGTTGAATGCAACTTGAAAGGTATACCTGGAAAAAAATTCCAAATTACAGCTTGGTGCTGTAGAAATCACCGGGTCTTGTAGAACGTATGGAGTGGAGACAGGAGGGCAGGCAAAAGCAGGGAACATGTCAGCAGCCCAGGCGGGCAGGGGCATCTCTGAATATTAGTAGAGGGAGAAACGTGACTCTTCTGCCACACTGAATTAAAGTGTTCTTCCACAATTTCATGTCACAGAAATATAATAGGAGAGGAACAACTGCTCCGGGGGAAGACAGAGAGGTCACTCGATCAGTCCTCAGAGTTCTTGTCCACTTTGTCTGGACTGGGATTGTGAGTTGGTCCTTGTCTTATCCTAGAAGTGAGTCTTCATCATTGATTCCCTTTGGTGAGATTTTGGACAGCCATTAGAGGAATCCTCTATGGAGCTATCCAGAGCCCCGGCAGAGGCAATCTTCCTGTCTCGATTGCTATCTAAAATAGAAAAGAACTGGGAGAGTCGTTAAACTGCATTTCCTCTGTTAAATGACTCAAAATCACTTCAGCCTGTTCCTAATCATAAGTGGATCAAACTGACAAAATTGTGTTAGAATTACAGTACTTTCCAAAAAGTCTCAGAAAAGCACCTTATTCAAAGTGAGATCTGCTTGGCTTGTAGAATGTTTTCCCACTGACTGTAAAGTGCTGTTCACTGCTAACAAGCATTTATTGACATTCTCTTTCAAAGGTGGCTTTTTGCCCTCTCCACCCCACCAAAATGTCCGAAAAGACACTGAGAACAGTAGTACTTTTGGTCACCAAGATCATATGTAATCCCTTTTGTCATTAAAGATAAAATCCTGGTATCTAAATGGTGTAATCTGAAGCTTAAAACCTTTCTAAAAAGAGACTTAATGTCAGTATATCTCTGTGCTACCAAAATATGACTGATGCTTGAGAGTGAAAATGACACAACGAATAAAAGCAAAGTTGTCTTTATTTTCTGAGTTAATATAAATTGCCTTATCTGAGGCTATTGCTAAGTTTTCTGAACTTAAAAGTGATTAATGTCCCCAGTCAGTTGCTCTAGTTGGCACTAGCATTCCTGGCAGCTCCAAGGTTAACTGAATTTGGCCACTATTTTTGCTCCATGTAGTTTTGAGCTGGATTGTTTCCCTTGCACAACTCATACCATGATGTGCAGTAGCTGGCGTCAGCGCTACGAGCCAGCGGTGGTGAGTGATTGGGATAAGCGTGGGAAGCAGAGATGCTCTTCAGCATTCGCATGGACTTCTGTCACTTTAAAGTGACTGCATACCAGCATAGCTTAAGGTGATCTTTGCTGAACCTAGGAGATGAGAAGTTATTTGGGTTGGAAAGTTCAGAACTCTTTTCCTCATGGAGGAATTAAGATATATTCTATACATCACACAGCTTTTAGGACATCTTTCAGGTTGCCATGTTAGTAAC